TATCGCACGTTGACAATCGATGCGAGACTTATCGAATTGTGCGCTCTCCTCGCTCTTTTGCTGGACAGCTTAGACCTGGTGCAAATGCTAGACTGAATTGGCAAGAAGAATCCTCGTGGAGTTTAAAAATTTCGCGTTTTTATAAGAATAAAAGTCTACAAAAATCTTCAAGCTGGCCGCACAATTTAAAATGATTATCCTTAGACTTTTACAGCTTAATAGCAATCTCTTTGTTAAAAGCTTGCACTATAGCTACTTTCAGCAAAATCTTTTGTAAAAGATGAATAACAAGGCAATCTTGTACAGATAATTTAAACATCGAATAATTTAAATGTTGAGTAATACATAGTTTAAAACTTGAATATAAAATAGGATAGATGTATACTATACAGTGTTAACTGATGATAGAATTAGAAAAGTCATCGAAAAAAATCACATAAAATATAATATTATAAAATGAAAATGGAGTAATTTTTAAGCGATCGTTTACAAACAACAATGCATTTACAAAATCCATTAAAATCTGTTTAAAGCTTAAAACTAATAATATTCTCCTTATCTAACTTTTAAATGACGATTCACGAACAACGATTAATTCACATTCATTTTAAACTATTTTTTACATTGAGAGAAAACTTTTTAGTATTTATGATTATAATTACATATTACCATAGTTATGATTATTACTGCTATAACGTCAGTAATAATAAGATTATATGTATAGTTCTATAATATACAATGGCATCGAAAATTAACTGTAATTTATAGTTTTTTTTTTAACCATATTTTATATGTTTATTCCAAAAATGACTATAAATTATAATTAAATTGCAATAATTTTTATAGTAATAACTACAATTTGTAGTCATTTTCGGTGTTAATTAACACTATTATGTAACGTATATTACTTACACTGTAGCAGTAATAATCATAATTATCATCACATGTAATAATAGTAAAAAATATCAAAAATTTTTCTCAACGTATTTTCTTAACAGATATTAATTCCAAATTTCAACAAGCATATCAAAGTGATTTGCAATCAGAACTTCATGGCAATTTAATAATTCTAGACACTTCCATCGAAATCAATAAAAAATCAGTAGAGAAAGAATATTCAAATTGTGCACTGAGAGAAAAAATTGATATTCACGACTATAATTACATGCTCAAAGAATGACAATTAAAGCCTTTTTTATAGCTTACTGCCATAATATTCGTAATAATTATTACATTTATAAGTCTACCAGAAAGATATATGATTTGCATCAGAAATGATTATAAATTATAGTTAAACTATCATTTTTTTCTCTCAGTGTGATGAGAACCTTGAAAAAAGAAATACTTCTTACCTTTCTCCTTATCAGAGAGAATGTCATCCGGCAGTCTGTCGAGGAAAGAGGTTTCTGAATCACTTTCCGGTGCAGGAGCCGGTCCTGGGTCACCAGGGATCTCGTTCCCCAGACCAGAATCACTCCCGTCGGACCTGACTTCGTCCCTGGCACCAGTCGCCAAGGCCAGGCTCTCGGCGGAGTCCTCCGTGTACGCTTCCGGTCGGTCGGCCTCCAATCTCGTCATGATCGGCGCCATCGCCTCCACGCAGCACAAGGTGACCCCCTCGGAGCACGGTAGTTGATCGGGCGCCATATCGACGTCACGCAATTCATGACGGATACTGGTGATGGGCGACACCTCCGAACTGTCGGAGCCGGTCTCCGTTTCCGTCTCAGTGTCGACGCCCTCGGCAACATCCACCGATACTTCCGGCGTCTCTTCCGGCGAACTCGGCATCGTCTCCGATGAGTCCAGCTCGTTGGACACGCGGCTGTCCTCGGCCGTAGGCGACGAGCTCACTAGCACCACCTCTTCATCCTCCTCGAGTTTACCAATCACTGCGACAGGCGCGGATTCGTCGTCTTTCTCGATCTCCCTTGAAGCTCCACTCTCCTCGGCGTTTTCCAACTGTGATGGATGCCCCGTGTCCTGGTTCATTCGCTCCAGTACCACTTTACATTTCTTCAGGACCATTCCACTGTCTGGACTACGAACACTCTCTATCGATTCACATTTTTTCGATCTGGTCATTGGACTGGAATTATTAGAGGGGCTCTGCCATCGTTGCTTCTTCGGACTCTTCTCCGAAGTCTCCGAAGTCGCTTTGAACGAATCACGCTCCTCCTCGACGAAATTCCTTTTTCCATTGGAACAAGATGAGCTCTCCCCGACAACATAATTCCATATGTTCTCGTCGACGTTTGTATCTATTAGGGCACTTTTCTTTTTTAAATCATCATTTTCGATGCGATTCAATACGATACTTAAATTTCGACAGATGGGACTTGATGGTACTGTGGGACTCATTGCTTCTTCGCCGACATGTTTTTTAATCGGAGTGCAAGACTCGCTTCCAACGTTTATGGCCACGTTCGCATCTCTGATGTCGTCTTGACAGAATTCTGTCTTCGTTCCGTCCAAATTGTCGCTTTTCGAGAATATCGGAGAAGCCACGTCGACGCCGAACGTCGTAATTTCGCCCTCGCTGTACTCTAGCTTTCTGCTCACGCAGTTTAACGTCGCCTCGACGTCGCCGCTGCTCGTGCATTCTGAAGGATCCGAGTCAATTTTACCGATCGCTTCCTTCTCTTCCTCTTTCTCTTCACTCGCATCCTGTTTCTCGCGATTCTGATCGACGTCCTGATTTCTGGAATCATTCGCTATAAATGATCCCGCGGAGGACCTCGGCGTTATCCTGCCGTCCAACTCGTCTCCGAAGAGACAGGACTCCGAGGTTAGGGATACTTCACCCAGGGTCCTTTCTCGCAGGCTCACCAACACCGGCGACAGTCTCCTGACGTCGTTCCTTAGCTGGGTCGCCTGTTCCTCCGAGATCTCGATGCCGATCCTCTTAATCTCCGTGCCGATCGGCAGGAAATCACTCGCGGCCGGTCTCTTCCTGGAAACATCTGACGATACAACATCGGACTTTTCGATCCCATTCTCCCACAACTCCGAAGACTCGTCGATATCGCGATTTTCAGAATCAGGCATTCTCGATGATCCTTCAAGTTCCTGAAGAGTGTTCTCCGTCGATTTCGCACTAATTTCGTCTTTCTGGTTTTCCTCATCGGCTTTCTTGTCTACTGTTAAATCCATATTCGCTTCTTTTTCTTCTTTTTTTTCTTTTTCTTCTTCATCTTGACTCGCTTCCGGTTTATCACTCGATTGTCTCGCTTCGAATTCTTCGTCCTCTGGTTTCTCATCCAATCTCTCGCACACCATCACCAAATCTTCACACGAGTCCGGCACGACGGATGGACACGTCGCGTCGTAGTCATTGTCACCGGCATCCGTTGTTGTCGTCGTTATCATTGTTGATATCATCCCGCCTGGCGCCGGTGCGCCTTCTGCCTCGGCCTCCACTGAGGTGGAATCCTCTTGGGCCTCAACGAAACAGTCCTGACGGGCCGAAGGCGATTCCATCTCGGGTGTTTCTGCCATCTGTAAGCACAAAGTTTAGTTGGAAATTAAAAGACAATTCTACATTCCTGGTGAAGAAATAATCTATTAGCAGCGGTATTTAAAGTGCGTATTTTAAGTGACGTAGCATTATCGATGAGTTGTAATTTATATACGTGGAATAGAATAGAAATGTAAAATGGAAATACTAAAATCATGTAAATCAAGATGAAATAAAAAGTAGTTACTATTTTACATATATACATAATATATATATAAATATAATATATTATATATATAATATTATATGTATATTTTTTTATACAGTAGTGTATACATATCTCTATGTATATATAAATAAATATATTATCGCTACTAGGAAAGTATTATACAAATATTAAATAAACTGTAAATACTCAAGTCCTGCGAAATCAAAATAAAAACACTGAAACGAAGTTTTATATCAAACAAATCAGAGTGAAATGAAACAGCGGAGTAAAATGAAGAGACACCGAAATAACCAACGTAGAATACGGATTAATTGGGTTGTTATGTCTACTGCGGGAACGACTTCTTGCCGTCCCTCACTGGCGAGGCAAATGATTTCACCATTATTATAATCAACGATCATTGAGCTCTACCTTTTTCACGAAAATAACATAAGCAAACTGGAGAGGACGAGGAAATCAATAATCCGCGCACTGATATCGCGCGCACCGTTGCTAAACCCAGAAGAGAATAAAAGCGAGCGAGAGAGAGGAGAGAAAGAGAGAACAGGAAGAGGACATCGATGCGGGAAGGAAAATCAATTTCCTGAAACGTAGTGAGTCCCTACCCCGTTACCTCATAATCCGTTCGATACATTTTTTTCTTGTCGTTCTCGAATACAAGATACCGCGGGGGAGCCTACATATAATCTTGGCCGGAGATTATTGATTCAAAGCCGACCAGTACGGCAGCAAAAGGGGGGTTGAAAGGGGGGAGGATGACAGGGAACACCTCCGTTCACGTCGAGGACAAGCACTGCGTGCGAGAGTTACTCTCGAGGACCTCCCAAACCTGATGACAGGCCCCCCTTGGATCGTAAAGAGGGGAAAGCTCTTTTACCTTGGAGTCGCGCGATCCTTCCTCCAGTTTGGTCCAGCTTTGTACCCCCTTTGTACTGCGACGGGGGGGTTCGCGATTTGAACAGTTCCGTGATCCTCTGGGGAGGGGGGGGGGAGTGATCGTCTTAAGTTGTCTCGCGACTTCGGTTACCACCGTCGTCCCGTTCGCGAGGGCCCGCGGGATACCGATGGTACAGTCCCATCGTGGATGGACCAGACGTGTCCTCGTGCAAGAGGGACGACGAGTGGCTCGGGCACAACATTCGCGATAGGCGAAACGATCTAGAGGACACGTCCGACCGAAGAGAAGAGAAAGTCTACCGGCTTGCCGGCACTCTCATGGGGAAAATGCACGAGATTCACCCCTGGAGACTTTCACCCGATCGCGCAGCCAGGAGTTCCCCGAGAGACGTCCGGGGATCCCGAGAGAGATCGACAAATCGTCGAAAAGCCGATGAAGTCGAGCTCGAAGGAAAAACTTTGAAATGAACCAACGTGAAGGAGACGATCGGAGTTAGAGCTTGTCTAACCCAATCCCGAGAGACCCAATCTGCGGCGCGGAAGAAGAACGTACAAGTCAGGGAAGCAACTGACGTCCTTTCAGAGAATGACGAGTATCAATGATGAGAAGCGCGACGATGATGATGACGATGATGATGATGATGATGACGAGAATCGTGTCGGGAGAGGACGGTGGGGGACTGTGTTGGCGACGAGATGTGGAGAACGACGAGGTGATTGCGGCGCGTTCGACAGCTCGGAGCAGAGTGAGCGGAGGCGGCGTCGGCGTCGTCGCTCGGCGTCATCGACGACGCCGACGCCGATGCCGACGCCGCGCTCTCGGATCCTCTCGGCTCGGCTCGGACCCGGCTCGGATGGAAGACACGCCGAGGACGTGTGTTGGTGAATGCGTAATGGAGTGGTGCACACGGAACGCGCGCCGAGAAGTGCAGCGGTTCTCAAAGCGCACACCAGGTATAGCGGATTAGTCATCGACGGCACGAGCTGGTCTTCCGCCTCTCTTCGTGGTATTTTTAATTTCGCCGAATGACGAGTGCGGTGACGAGCGATTCTTTTTTTCCTATTTTGGCGAAACAAAACAAATCGCGCGGTCTCGTCCTAATAACGAGATTCTTGAAGCTCGAGAGTCTCGTTACGGAAAAGATTGCCGAGTTAGAGAATGAGACATAAGTGACGTAATCGAGACGACGAACGAGCGCTTAAACAAAGGTCACTCGAGAAAACACGAAATAAATTGAACGAAAAATTTGACGCTTTGTTTCAAACTAATTCTTAACTTCTCGTGTGATAATCTTCAACACTATTTTCTCTTCTCTATTCTTAATCGTATTGAATGCGTGGAGCTTTACTTCTTCGATAAAATATCGAATAAAATATCAAGTTTTCCCGTCTGCAGTCTATACAATGCAAATTGACAATTCTGCAACGATACATTCATTCGCTGTAGTCTAATTATGTCAGTGATGCACGCGGCGCATCGACGAGGAAAAGCGAAGTTTATTCGTGAAGAAATCGCTGCGGAATGTAATTCATGCATCACGTAAAATCCACTAATTGTGAAAGAAAATGACCCTAAATAATAAGTTTTATTGACATGCAGGACATAAAATAATAAATATGCAAATTAGAGTCACACCTCAAAAAGTAAAACATTAGCAATACTGTTATTCGTAAGCCTAGATCTCATTACAATTAATTAAGTAATAAATAGAACGAAATATATAATTAAGAAGATTACAATTACGAATACGAATCTGTCTTATTAAGTTAAATAAAGTCATTCATCAAATAATTCAAAATAAAAAAGAAGATATAAATATCACGCGGTTATATCCAGAAATAAAATAATTCAAAAATAAATCGTGCATAAATTATGTAAATAATTGCAAATGTTTTATTGTGTAAGTAATATATCAAAAACAAATATATCAAAAACAAAAGATACCCAAAAACACAAGTCATTGTGATATTAAAATGGCGTCAAAATGACTCCAAAATGATTACTGAAAGATATTTTTCCATCACTGATGATTCATTTTAACATCACGTTGATATATCGTGACTTATTGTTCCGTTTGGGTATATTTCTTAGAAATTTCTGATTTCGTAATATTTACAGCATTTCTCTAAAATAAGATAAATATTTGTACTAAATTTAATTAAAATAAAATATATTTTTTGATTAAACATTCATGGAATACGAATAGGTAATCCCAAAACGAAAAATCTAAAGTGATATACAAACAATATATAAATGACAAATTAAAATATATAATTCCAGTCGGTTCACAAATATTTTACAAATATTTCGCAAATATTTTACTGAGTTTACTTCAAACTTCACTTTTTTAAATTCCAGATTTGAGGAAGCGAACGAGAGTGGATGTCGCATAGGCGAGCATGGGAAAACGAAGCACAAAGTGACATGCATACGGAATGCGCGCGATAATGATGCACAATAATAACAAAATCGACTGACGTAAGCAAGACAGACTGTTGTCGATGACGCAAGCGTACACAACGAGCGATGCCGTTTCTTGTCGATGTCCGCCGCGCGATCTCGCCAAAGGAGACTCGCCGAATCCCGGGATACTACCTCGATAAATGTTTCATCATCGAGGTCAACTCCAAAATCATCCATGGTCTTTTCCGCCCTGTCCTCCCTTCATCGAGAAACCTTATACAAAAAGACTATGATAGCCAGCTCGTTTCGTGATTGCTGATCGATTCCTAGATAACACGCACGTTTATAAAAAGACAAGAAACATTTTTATGTCTTTTAGATATCTTTTGGAAATGTGTCAAATACAACACAGAAGCCATACTACAGCACAAAAATTGCAGCAATATGCTACAACATCTTCAATGTTAATAATATTGCTGGAAACTTGAAATGTTACTGCAATATTGGAACGATCTGTGCTACATAAGTCTCATACAGCACAGATTCATGCAGTAATATTGCTGTAACATAATATTGCTGGAACATTGCAATGTTGCTGCAATATTGTTGGAATGATCTATATTGTATGGATCCCATACAGCATATAAGTTCGCAGCAACATGTTCAGTGCTACTACAATATTACTGGAACGTTGCAATAGTGTCGCAATATCGCTGGAACGATCTGTGCAATACGAGTATATATCTAAAAGATATCTTTATGACGTCTTTTTAACATTCATGTTGTTTGAATTGCTACCGCGCTCCTCGACTCAGCGACAGTCGGTTTCTCGAATGATACCAAAGGGAAGACGCAATAGACGCGATGTTTAGAGAACCGGAGGGTATTTTCCGTCGGACGTTCGCCAGAGATCGACTTGCACCTAAATGAGGGATAACGCTTCGTCCTGAATACAAGTCGATACGCTAGTTTTTCCCATACAGCATATTTTATCCGAGAGACATTCTAGGAACGTCCTTAAAATATTCTCTCAAGATATCTTTATAATGTCCTTTGGAGATCTATACTATATAAACTGGAGACTGCCATTTTACCATTCGTTACTTCGAAAATATGCAGGGTTGCGGATATGAAGTCCGGGGAGAGCATTTGTACCGGAATCGGCATGGTAGCATCCAGCGATTGTTGTTTGTCTCTAGTTCTCATTTTCTGCCTTTCTCTCCCTTTTCCTCTCTCCCTCTCCCCCCCCCTCTCTCTCCTACTCTCTAATTTATATTTTTCCTTTCCATCCGACGCACAGCCGCACATACACGCGCACACGCTCACACACATTCGAACGATTCTCTCTCACGGACGGTTCAACGAACGAGAGAGCGCAGCGCTTGCGCGCGGCGGGCTCCGTAATTGTCGGCTACGCTCCGCGAAACTAGAAGGCGAGCGGAGTCTTCCTGTGGAATTTTAACGGCCGAAGAGCGACAGCTCTTCCTCCTCTAAGGAAGAGCATAGCACGATTCGTAAGTCGGTGTCCCTTTTCTCGTCCGGAACGCCGAGATTTCCGGTGTAACGAGAGCCGCGCCGGTTTCGCAGGATTATTGATCGGCGTTCGCGCGAGTATTGATCCGCCTCCGGTTGGTGCAAAGTTACTCTGGATGCTAAATGCGCGTGACCGCCTAATGTTGGAATTTACTCCGATTTAACCCCGGCGAAACTCGAATTTGTCCGAGCGCAAATCTGCAAGAGAAACACTTTTTTTTTTCTGTTCCAAGCATGGGACGACGTGGACCGGACTCATCTCGAAGTCTCAGCAGCGGACGATGGGATCTTGAGACAGCCTTATAAAAATAATTGATCTTTCCTGTAACAACTAACAGGAAGTTTTTATACGACTATTGAAATCGTTTTACGGTACACGATAGAGCTAGGTACGTTATCCGAATCCGAATTCAATCGTCCGGTGCGAGCGATATTCAATTTAAGTGAAAATGGAATGATGGGGTTGCGGAATTAAAAGGCGAACCGAATCTTTCGCCTTCTTCAGACCTTTTAAGCTCGAGGATTATTCCGGTACTTTCGGAAGCGACAAATTTTACAATGTAATGAACGGCAGAGAATTTGTACGATTATCGATTGGCGTTCGCGTGAGTACATTTAGTACAGTTGTCCTCACTTCCCACTGTTTCTCTGAAAACACATATTCCATATATCCGATTTATCATGTGGAGTTTGGTCTTAAAAATTTTAATTTAAATCCCCAATATTTTGATATCTAGACAAGTAAATAACTTATAATCTGTAATTTCATTATTTTCATTGTAAACCGTAAGATAATATCGGAAAAAGTTTAAGCAAAAGTTTGTTTTTAAAAGACCTATTCAACGATACCCTAATTCGATCTATGTTCCTATTTAAACTTCAGACTTGACTTATGTTTGCTCTACTTCTGATAATTTCCAGAAAACCAAATTGCCATCTTTAAATTGTACTAATAGAATTTAGTAATGAAAATTTTTTTTACCCGACTTCTGATTACTATTTGAGAGAAAAGGGCGATACGATATTCTGTATAATAACGAAGGTTGCGACAACAGCAATAAAAGAATAAATAAACCATATCGTCTTCTTCTTGACTTTTCCTTTTCCGAGAAGCTTTCTCGAGAGCGAGCTAAACAACCCGGATGGGTACGAATTCCCGCGACAATAATGGGTTTTCTACAATAAGTTGTTAAAAACGTCTTTTGGGACTCTATCTAAAAGACATCGCAAAGAAGGCTTTTAGACAATGCGTGTTGTTTGAGATATCACTGATAAGTAATGTATCATAAGGTAATAATAAATCAGAATTATAAATCACGAATCTAAACTTAACTTGACTCTCTGGATTACATCCAGAATCGTATTAATTGTTCAATTTTTAAACTATATTACTCAGTTTTGGTTAATTCTGTCGATAGCAGACGTATATTGCTTTTCAATTAGTCATAGAGTCCTAAAAAACCAGAGATGCGTCTTTGAGTTGGTTATATTAGTCGCCGTCAATTTTGTTTTCCAATATGTATACTGTCTAAAAATCACGTGATCACAGTTCCATTTTGTTTTTCTTATGATGATCGCTATTCTCACCAATTAATTAGATTGTACTATTCTATAACGAATCTTTAATTATCCTAGTCGGTCACAACGTAATCTAAGTTATAAATCATAAGAAATGGAATTTGATCATCTCCACGTCATCATCTCCATCATCTTACCTTATGATACATTACTGACTCGTTTACTCACTCCTGATTTCTGATCTATTATTAACGATTTATTATAAATTCAAAACGTGAAATACAAAACATGAAAGAATCATGAAAGAGCCATCCTATTGACGTTTTCGAGAGCTATCGAAAGATAAATACTTGAAAACGTGAGAACTAGTCGTCGATAATCCGATACTCTCTCCATCTAATTGAATTGACAGAATGGACAGAGTCACGATGGAAAACCTCTACCTCTGTTTGCCTATCTCGCCATCTTGGAGCGTCCTCTTGGCCGAGCTTTATTAATTGCTTTCTATTTAAAGACAATCAGACGCGCGAGATTGAATCGCGCGCGGTCTCGTCGCTTTGGGGCACGTCATCAATCTCGCACGGCCATTCGCAAAAATCTTCCTCTATTCCTCTTTCAATTTTTCTCGTCGTCCATCCGCTCGCTACAATAGAAATTGAGTCGGCTTTGAATCGCTTTAATAGCAATGACGCGATTGTCATGGATAGTACAATGAGGATTCGCATAATGCAACGCGAATATTTTAATCTGTATTAGCCTATTGCCAAATAGCAATGTTATTAAATTAATATAATTATATCAAAATGTTTGTTAATTACTTAGCGCAGTAGTAAGGCAACACATTATATATTATTAATAATACATTAATCAATGTATATTAATTAATTAATGCATATTTATTAATCTATTATTAATAGTGAAACGCTACTAGAAGTTTCGTAAACATCAAATTTTTCGGCAACAAGAATTATTTTGTCATAATTTATTTAAAATGGTAAAATATATTTAGTATTAATTTAATTTAGTAAAATTGATATATATGTTATCAACTATTATATAATTTACTTTATTTAGATTTAATATAAACATTTATTGTTTAAGCTTTTAGTCGGTAGATGGCTGCGTCATCCCACGCATAGTTATCATAAATCTTTTAAGTTTTCCTCAAAGTTTTCTAATACTCGAAGCGTCCCTTTATTCCTGTAGCATGAAGTTTAGAGTTTAAACTGATATTGTTAAGATCAACAAGAGTTGTATACACCTCAATACAAGCTAATATTGAACTGTTTTTTTATACTCAATAAAAAAAATCTTAAAAACCTCGTTCTAGAAAAGAAAAATGAATGAAAAGTATTGCCCAAAAGTCTTAAAATTCATCATTTTTACATTCCTTTATCTCGTAAGGATAAATAAAGTAAATTTAAGTCAATATCATTACTATTAAAAAATATAACTGTAAAAATAAAATTATTTAGTGTGCTCTGAGCACCTATTCCTACTTAAAGATTAAAGTTCCACGAAATATTGAGGAAATATTCTTCGTCATATATTCGCTTAAGACACAATGTAAACCTTTCATTTTCGATAGAATTTGAAACTGGTATCTTCTTCCAAACTCGTCCAACTAACCACAGCCAAGTTTGACCATCATCTAATGATATACCAACGTGTTTACGTCGCTTGTGTTCCCAAAATCGTCCGCACGAGGAGGAAGGGGAAGAGAAGGAGGAGAAGTAGGTAAAGGAACGGGAAGGCAACAGTCCCGGACGAAGGGATGCTGGAGACGGGGAGGGTGGTGCATTCCGCAGCTTCCAGGGAGGCCACCGTGAGCGGAGGTGGCTTCGTATTATGCTCTCGTTCTCTCGCTCTTATTATTCCGGAGCGATCCACACCGTCTCGGTCTTGTCCATGTGTGCCATGCGTATGCGTGTTCATTGTGCGTCCGTGTGGCCTCCGTGTGTGCGTGCATTCGTTGGTGAGGTCCACATATCGCCGGCTGCTCGCTACTCTCCTTCGTCGAGCACACCGACTGGCTGGCATGCGGCGCACATGTCCTCGTCGAACCGTTTACTCGGTTCTACAGGGTGTCCCGGTAAAAATCTACCCGTTCCTGAGAACCCATGTGATCGGTCACAAAACAAAATCCCACGGCGAGATAATTCCGTCACCGTATACTTGCGTCGTGCCAGTAGAAACTGCCGATAGTGATGAGAAATCACTATTGATTTGCTCTCGTTTATTTAATAATAGTAACAGAAGAAAAAATGGAGGAATGCAAACGTGGATTTATTAATTAAATAAGAAGAAATTGTGGTATTGTGCGTAAAAAAAGACTCCAACGTTCATAGAGAGATACAAGATTTTATAAATCA